GCCGTAACGAGTACGATATAGAAATGTTCCGTAATTATTAAAACGTGAAACGTTGTAGAAAATCTACATACCATCCGGTCTCAATAGACGGTGTGTCGAATTAACATTTAATTAATCCTATCATTGTCGACCGCTTTCTAGGTATTTCCAATTAAAATTAATTAATGTTAACTGTTACTTACAATTAATAAGTTCAAATTATTTCTCAGTAAGCTGTTATTGAAAAAATCCAATCTTCGATTTTTCATGTAAATAAAAATACTTACATAATTTTTTGAAAATGCGATAGGTAATATTGATGGCACCATTATTACGCAGCAATTAAATCCACTGCCTCGTCTTCGTTATATGTATAGCTACGATGCAAGATGAAGGAGATTTACTCAGGAATGCTCTGTATTCAATTAAGAGCAAAGAGACTCTTTAATAATAAATAGCCGGACAAATTAGTCTATTTTCTTAAACCCTGCGCAAGCAGAGCTTTTAAATAACCAATATCCATACTTATTCTATGTTCCCTAAAGCGCTTCGAGCACTATACGGCCACGCCGACTGCCACTGACCGCCACGACCAGATTAGCTAAATAAACTATAGGAACGACTCGCACTTGGCTACAACGGCCAACTTTAGTTAATTTGGTCGTTGCGGCCACTGGTCGTGGTCGTTACGGTCTGGTGTTCGAGGTGCCTTAATTCGACTACAGGGCCCTACGGCGAAAATAAATTATTGTGGATAATAATTATGAACCACCAGTGAATTAAAGCGATGAGGAGTCGGATAAATATAAGCCAACTGTGAAAGGAACTTCAACGGTCTGTCTATCCGTTACGATTTCACGCCGAAGCCGTTGAACTGATTTTAATACATTGTGGCAAAAATAATAATTTAAGAATGAAATGAAATTTCATTCATAATGTATAGGAAAATTAACGCACACATATTTATAATACACAATAAATAAGCCAGATAAACTTTGTTTTCTGGCATACGTCCTACACACCATAAGTACACATTTTTTTTATTAAAGTTACAGCCGTATTTAGGCACGTCAAATTAATTTAATGCTAACTGCAAATTAATTGAATGTTTACTGTCATAATATGCTGTTTCATTCTATTGTTATCACAAAAATAATAACCGCAAATCTTTATTATATTTCTACAACATGTTAAAATGTAAATTAAAAAATTTCTACAAAAGAAAATTCTTTAGCATAAACTGTTATCAAACTTAAAATATAAATAGGTAAGTAAAAGTTCCTACTGACTTACATTATAGTGCGAGTACGAGTGGTATGTACACTGGGTTTCAAGATGACGGCGGAAGGCAAGGGGCAAATGTTACTATGATGTATACGAGCATTTTTACCAAAATCATGGATCCTTATAAATTTCTAGATAAATATACTTATATATGTATCGGTAAACGTATTCTATTCATTACCCTAGTATCCCATAATGCACAAGCCTTACAGTTCTCACTTTGGGGCTAGGCTAATTGGTGTAAGTGTTAAAATCGCAGGCCTAGAACATTAGGTTAGCACATCGGTAATAAAGAAATCATAAGAAACTTTAATATAGGACAGCATCTACAGCGCCACCTGTGTTTTTGTGTTAGATATTTCTTATGGGTTACTACCCATAGTCACAGTTGGGTTAGCATTAACATATCAGTACTTTTAATTTATTCCTTAAATAGATCTGAATTATATTTAAGCAGAGGTCACACATGATCTTTGGAACGATAGTAATTGAATGTTAGCTCAACACTCTTAGTAGATTCCACATTTTTACCTTTCAAAGACGATCTACGAGATAAAATAAGCAGATGGAGATTTCCCCGTGTTCCGTTTTCTCCGTGTCCAGTACATAAAACAGTTTTAAGAAGTAATCGGTGATACATATGTGTTTCCGAACCGAAAACCTTCAAGAAGAGAGCGTACTCTTTATTCCTAAATCCGGCCGCGGCATCGCATTTGTGATACTCCTGCTGTTGTTGCAGAAGTCTATAGGCGCCGGTGATCACTTACCATCGGGTGACCCGTATGCTCGTTTCATATTATATAATATCCTCTATAATATAAAAAAATGAAGTTGTCCTAAAAACCTCAAACATATATGCCCTAGATATTTCAAATGGTCCACTCTATCAAGCAGGACGTTATTAAGATATATTGCTGGCACAATTTTTGGGCGTTCACTACCACGAGCTCCGAAGACCCTGAACTGACTTTAAGTAGGATTGTACTCCATTCTCGCAAACGTACCTTTCACAGTCGCGTAACAGGTGTCTTAAGACACAGACCGAGGCACTCAGTAGAACTATACCGTCCGCATAACTAAGATTGAGTCTGTTAAGCAATAATTATTGCTTAACACACTCTATTAACGTGACAGCCAATATACTGCTGAGTTCGACGATCAGCGCGTAGCGAGCGCAGAGTAGGAGATACTCTTTTTAATTTATTTATGGACGCGCTGATCGTCGAGCTCAACAGTAACTAGCCAGCCCACCCTGCCTAATGGTCCGTACTCACATATGGTATTACTTTATGATGTTTCAAAGTTATAGATACGTCATACACGCTTCTAGTTTGTCACTACGAAAGTCAGGTAATTGTCCGACTTGCATTTGGTCGGGCACGCTCTCTCGCCGCGGCTACACTTCGCTATAACGTGTAAATATTCTACGTTTTTCCAGACGAAAAGCCCTATGTGTGTTTTTACATAGTCCCCAAAATACACAGGAACTATTAGAGTCATTACGGGAGACGGGTCATTTCATTCGTAAGTACAGTTTTAAAGAATTACATCTCAAAATATTATGATTACTTATTTTGACAGTTGCTGATACCCTTGACACGTGAAGGTTAAAGGGCGAAATATAATTGCTTTATGAATAAGAGTGAAAAAGATTACTATAGTGCGCTCTATTGGCGGCTGTTGCCAAGGGCATTTGGGGCGGGGACTACTTATGCCATTTTAAAATGCAATAATGTTGGTGTATGACTTGTCTATATATAAAACGTCATTGATATTACTCGATAGTTTTACTCTAAAGCTAGTAAAAATCAACGTGTGGACTGCAAAACTCACAACTTGAAGGCTTGCACCGAGCCGGCTCTATGGAATTAAATGTAAATTCCTTCGCACCTACTCAAAGCCAGCCGCCGAGCTTGATTTGAGCGTATGAACGAGTCCGCGGCATTGTGAGACTTGCAAAATCCAGTCACTGTTACCGTTTTTGGAACAGTCATCATTTGACCCGAAAACAGTGATTGTCGCGCGCACTCGATAAATGAATGCTGAATGCGTGGATGAAAACCCGTGCTGTGATGTTAATCAGTTCTCTTTAGCCTTTTCTTGTCCAATTTAGTCCATAAAACATGTATGATGTTCCAACATCCATGATGATGCCACTAGGTCAAAAGCCAAATAAAAACAGAAGAAAAACCATCCCTTTGATTACATTTTTATTTTAAAATGTCATAAAATGATATCAACATCTTAAGGTTAACATTGATAAATAGAATCGCCATCATGCTATTACATGGTTTTAAATCCATATTAATTATATACAAATACAATATTGTCACTTTTTTATTGTCTTTTACAATTTATTAAAGAAGGGCAATTTCAAAGAAATGCAGACGATTATCTTTTTTCAAAATTAAAGGCTTTTTCTTACAGGAAGCCATAACGTTTATATCAAACATTGTATAGAGTAAGTAGTATGCAAAGCCAAAATCATTGATGCATACTATACTATAAACGAAAAAAAAACATTAGCTAGCAACACGTTGATAATGCAATAAATAAATAATAAGAAAGTTATAATACAAAAATAATGTACCAAGCATTCATACCACTGCACTAATAGATTATGTTTCCGAATACATAAATATAGAATATTTATACAGAATCGATTCTTATCAAAATTCAAATTTATACCAATATCTCTAATGACTACTATAAATTCTTCATTTTTACTTACTTACACTACAATTTATTTGAAGCCCAAAAGGTACTTCTCAAAACTACAGTTCCATTATCTCATAGGTAAGTATATAAACTTGAATGAGCCGAATACATTATCATAATATACTATTCGGAAGACAAATTTATTATACAATTATCAAATTATATACTCTAGCATATTTTCTTAGTACCCAAACTATTTAAGACAGAAACTTTGATAAATTTATACAGCTTTTCAAAGCCCAATATTACATATTTTATTATACCAAAAATATAGAAGAATAGAATATCTGTAAGTTTATAAAAAAACGCCTTAATTTTTGACAAAATCTTACTGTTGTGTAGATTAGAGATTTGAAATTCAGTTATTTATACCTGTTCGAATATTTAGTTTTTAACCTTTTTTAGAATGATGTCATCATAAATTGGAATTATTATAAGATTCTCCCATTTATATTATAGTCGTATTTTTTTTTCAATATGATTGGTATGTGAGAATATTAATACGAATTACTTATTCAAAAGTTATTGTTAAGTTATTCATAATTATTTATTGATGCATTTAATTTATTGATTAACATCGTTAGCTATGACATAAGTCATAAGCTTGTACATGGCCAAAATTAAAAGTAAGTACGTAACTGTCCTTTTTTTAAAATCATTACTGCACCTATGATTTCTAATTTCTTTACAATCTTAATTTTGGTCTAGATATCTTAATACTACGTGCTATTGTCATTTTACAGTATTGTCATACAGAAATTATTGTAAATATATTTCTTAACTTATGTTTTATTCATAATAATACATATTAAATATTTTTACACATTTTAAAAAACATATAAATAAGCACGCAACTTTCTTGTAGAACGAATCAATTATGTATAATATTAATTATAAAACAATAATAGTAAAAGTTCAAAAACAAGCCAGACTTCATTAAAAAGGATGTAAAGATATTGATATGATATTAATGATATTACCAATTCATAAATTTTCATACAATTTTAAAGTGTTACAATTTTTTTTAGTCTTATTATCAAAATAATCAAATGCTTTTATTGTCACATTTTACATTTAAAAGTTGATATTGTATCTGCCTAACAACATTTCAACATTAAGTCGTAAAAAGTACTTACAACAACCTCAAAATACGTACTCTTACAAAATTCAACAGCCATTTTTGTATCACTACCTAGTACTCGTTTCTAAAATATTAACATAAATAAACTCGGCAAACTACATTCATTTTTATTTAGTAGTTCCACGACGGAACTGCACAAACCATGCTTATTCTATGTTTCACGACTTCTTTTATACGCTCTCACATATATTCGATGAACAAATTACTCGGTTAAGCGAGCAGGTCGTAACAGTCGAACGCTTTGTCGAATACGCATTTACGTATTGGCTTCTAAAGTAAGTCCGAGTGTCCGGAAACACGTCTCTCTATTATTGTACGAGCGCGTTTAGACTGGCGAGTAGGAACGCTAACGCGGCCGTATACGCCCTGGTGGCGTCGTTGTAATCAATGTAACGACGGGGCGGGCCGGATGGGCGAACTTTTTGCTTTTCGGTCCGTTGAGCGTATTCGTTGTGCGTGTTGTTCAGGCCGTATGCGTTGTAGAAATTTAACGCGTTGTTGATTTCGGGGTGGCGCAGGTCGGCGTCCAGTGAATTCTGCCCGCGATCTAGTTGCTTCTTCAAATGACGTTTCGGCGGTCGTGATGTAGTTGCGGCGGTCGTTGGCGCGCGTGTGGTGGTTGTCGTTGTCGTCGTGGTTGTTGTTGTAGTTGTCGTTGTGCGCTGCGGCGTCTCTGTTGATAAATGAGATAACAAATTTAGTATTTTATGAATATGAGTTTGGTTCTTATGCTTGATTTAAACATGTTGCGTTCTAAAGTTTTTTGGAGTTTACTCCTTAAGAATCGATTTGCATATATAAGGGTCCCGGTATGAGAAAAACGTGAGGAGTAAAATCTATCGATGAATGACCTCGTTACGTTTTTGGTGCGCATCCTATGTCGCGCAACTTTGACAAACAAAGATAACGGATTGACATTAATAATTTTTTTAAAATCTGAACTGAATTTAGATATTGTTTCTGATAGAGCAATGGGGACAACGAGGTATGGTACAACCATTGATGCGGTATTTTCAAGATTCGTGAACCACGTATCTAAGAACGTCCATGTGTCTTATTTTAGTTACCATAAATCAATTGTCACTGTAATTAATAATGCAGACAATGTTGATTTAATTAATATTGAAAAAAAAGATGATAATAGTCTGATAATAGTAATTACATAATTTATCAACATCCCTAATGATATATTTATGCACATCTGAAATTGACTATTGTAAAAAGTTTAATGTAAAATATTTCGTCGATTAGTTATAATAAATGTATATGAAATATATGTATATTATTTTCAATAATTTGTTAATTTACCCTTTCATAGAGTATCAAAAGTTAAATAAACTCTTTTTGCGTCTGGTTAGACTATCGAACTTAAGGAGTAAACTCCAGTCGTGCGTCGGAGCTGAGACACAGATTTTTTTTTATATACTATATTTACTTGTTTGGATTCTTTTCATTATGATTTTCTATTTGATGTTAGCGTTATTCCAGTGTTTTTGTTTATTAGTTTGGATTGCAAATTAACATATTCTTCTACATAAATATTTAAAAAATATAATTATATAAAGCGTCGACCCTTAGATCGACCTGTTATCGGAACTATTTAGTACTTCCAAAAAATTTTATAATTTTAATAATATGAGTGCAAGAGCTTCTAATGGATTTTAATATAAATTTCGTTTCGTGAACTTAATTCTTCAGTAGGTATAGAAAACTGCATACGCTGTTATGAACAGACTAAAAATAAGTACGTTTAATATAAGTCAACTAATGCTTTTATTAAAAAAAAACTTTTTTTACAAAACAATGTAATGACCGTTTTAACCTAATTAAATGTAGTATCTTTTATTTTGGAATATTTCAGGATAAGGTCATACCAGAAAAATCTTTGCTTAGTAGCGAACTATTTGGAGTCTGGACAACAACAAAAGAATGCAATAGGACTGTTTACTTATTCATTAAGTGCTAACTTTGCTCTAAGTACCAAACGAGTTTTCTTGTACCATGTCCTCACTCAACTAAGTCGACTATAAATATAAATCTGAAAGTAAACTTACCTTTTAAAATGACGACGCCTTCGGCTCTACCGTATCCATTGACTGCTGAGCAGGAATACTCTCCGAAGTCGCTTTTCTTCAAGCGGTTAATGGTAAGGTTAGTCCGCAATGCGTACTCGTTCGCTATCTGCTCCGATATCACGTACTTGGAACTGTTCAGCAATTTCACACCTATGACAATATTTAGTTTTATTTAGATTAATCTTGCTTGTAAATTACATTCAATATTGAGAAAACATTGTTAAGCTATGAGCATCAAGCTTTGACGAATATAAATTGCTTTAACAACGCTCCGGTAGCAGATAGATTAATGCGTCAATCGGTGTAGCGCAGGTATGGAAGAATCTTTTTTTAAATAAGTTTAATTTTATTATCTTTTTCCAAACAGTTGAATTAATGACAAGAAAAAAGAAGATAAAATATAATATCTCACTGTTGTCGATTCTGGCATGATTTTCTAAACTTAAAACTAAATTTCACATCAGTCTCTTCCTTTCATTCTGTTAAGAAAATGACAAGGATGCACTGTTGTAAAATTTCAGTTTAGGTTCAGAGATTCGTGCCAGAAACTACACTAAGGAATCGTGGTAACCACCGTTACATATTAGCTAGTCGTATATATAAAATTAATATATTTGAACTCATTCTCCTCTTTTTTATGAAACAATCGATAGAATTGCAAAAAATCTAGACCTCAATTTTTATATAACATTCCCCATATCGCTTTTATTGTTATACAACACCCGAAGCTTAATTACAAATCGCCTTTATCAAAAACGATGCAGTAGTTTACCCGCTACATAAAATCCTATTGATAACTAATTATACTAATTATAAACCATTCCTTTTGGCTTTAGTAATAGTCAGGTAAAACTTTTACCCGACTACGATATGGTCAAAAGTTTGTACCGTGAAACAAGTATAACTTCCTATTGCTTTTCTATGAAGTCTACGCAAATAAAAGTTTTGGAGAGTATTGTAATATCAGTCTATTAACCATATTACCACTATAATTATACTGTTGTTTCCGGCTTCGAGTTCCGGACAACAACTCAAACTAATGGATTGTCAAATGTAACGTCATTGTCTAATAATATCGCAAGCGACGAAAGCTACGAATGTGTGTCAACAAAACCGGCCAAGTGCGAGTCGGAATCGCACACTAAAGGTTCTATACAATTGTATATGATTTAATACCACGACAAACAAGAAAACGCAGCATAACGTTTCTTTTATAGCAGTTAAAACCCTCATTATTATGTCCTTTTTTTTGTTTCGTTTCGTAATTTATAGCTGACAGTGGGACAGACAGGGGAAGTTTAGTCATAGATTTCCATTATCACCCTTTGGATATGAAGCCCTAAAAAATCCTAATAATAATGCAGGTGAAAAAGATCCTTATGTATATACTAATAAGTATCTACATTGCTAATAAAAAATCTGGGCCAGAAGTCTAACCAACCTGCTTGTGACTTGCCTCGCTGCCAAGTGATGAGTGATTTGGGAGACGCCTCGATGTAGCACTGCAGGCTGACTTGCATGTCCACCGATCGCAGCACCACGGGGCTCTCCACTCTAATCATCGGTTGAACTGTACAAACAGACAACTTGAAGTTAGTACCATGTGAATTTATTTTTTATTCCCTATCATCTTGCTGCCTGTTAAACCCGATACCATAAACGCCCAGTAATATACATATTTCATGACACTTTGTAAACGGACAGATTTCGTAGTCGTAAGATTTCTATATCATATAAAAGAATAAAAAAAAACTGTGGAATATTTTAGCAAGTTTATAGAACAACTGATCTTTTCAACCGACTTATTCCTATGAAATTTCGCTTAATGGAAACTTTCAAAGTGAAGTGAAATAGTTTGAACGACCTCAAAAGCAATTAAGTAGTACAAACAATTTTAATACCTACGTCTTACAGATCTATATGAAATACCAATTCGGCGAATTGCAACCAAAACCAGTGAATCTCTCAAGTAACACATTATATTAAACTTTACGCCGGAGACAATCTAAGCAAAAAGGTTAACTATAAATTAAGTCAACTCAATTAGGTTAACACAAGGCTGTCCAAAAGTTTCGTTAAGGATCGAAGTTAGATAGGTACTTTGTTTTCCAAAGCCTGCTAAAATTTTCTCCGGTATAAATTCGCCCTAAGCTAAGTGTGCTTAGAGCAAATTTATCTGTGGCTCCCCCGTGTATGGGCTTCTATTTTCCATTTGTTGTTTAACACACGGATATTTGCTCATCAAAGACTTGCTGTATAAATTCTGACAATGAAATGATTTCACCCTCGGATCTGTTTTTGATTGTCATATTTTAAATGTTTTTTTTTAACTTACGTATACGTCCCATCAAACGGTAAGCATGCACCAGGAAACAGGACTTGCGCATTGCCTACCCTGGCCTCATCCGCCTACCCCTTAGTATCGTTACCACAAGGACTATTGTATAACAGAAAAATAATGAACAGTGGATAAATTTTTCGCCGTACGCCCATGTGACTGTAGCGAAATAGCCAAGCCACATATTTTGAATAAGGTGTAGTCTATGAAGTTAGGCCTTGTAGATTTAGGGCGTGTAGAGTTTGAAGCTAGGTTCTACATAAGATCTGATAACTTTTTGACAGTGCGAGTCACATGGTCTGGTCTTGGCAACATTTTACAAGAAAATGTTTCTGGTAGGATAACACAGGTCTGCAACAAAAATGCTATCTGGATGTTTTAACTGTATTATATGTATTTAGGTGTCGGGAAACTAAAAAATACCCAAAAAAATCCAGAACTTCAGGTTATTTTGCAAAACGCAGAATTTTATAATAAAAAAGGGTATTTTGACTAACTTCAAATCTTACAAAATAAGTATAATTGTATTTTAATTACTGATTTTTAATGTTTACAGGCCATAATATCATTCCGCTCTCTAAATAAAGAAGGCCCTGTGTGAGCTAAATTAACAAACATAAACATGTTGTAACAAAGTAAGAACAATTACGTGTTAATTTGTCATAGTTTTTAGATCTTGGTTCAATATACTATACTGTCCCGACAGTTTCTGTTATATTTGTCATATATTTAATATCAAAGTTTCCAGGCCTCTCGGAGGCATAGTTTAAGGAAAGTGTTTTAGTTAGGTCCAGATATTAGACGGCTTATGGCTGATCCACATTTCATCACAATCATGACGGGTCCTCAAAGAGAAGGGTGGATTGCCTTTCGAAAGGTCATAGATAACTGTTTTGCAATAACAAAGACCCTAACTACAAACAATTCACGTCAAAAAAACGTTCAATGCATTTCAACCTTTAGGTTACCTAAAGAGTTTCAAAATACATGTTCTTCATTCCCACCTCGTCTGTTTCCAGAAAATTTTATTAGATGTGAGTGAAGAGCAAGTTGAATGTTTTCACTAGGATATTTAGGAGATGGAAAAACTATACCATTAGTGTTGGACGCTTCAGAGAGACCTTCCAGGTGCTTTTTACAAGCGAGGATATAGCAATAGGGAGTCTCACTGGGAAAAAGATATGTGTTTAGTAAATACTAATGAATATATTTAAAATATGAAAATAAACTTCGTTACGCAATTATAATTAATAAAAGTTTTACTCCTTTATCTTTTATTTTAGTTTACTAACTTGTTTAACATAGAGACCTACATTGTCAGAAAACGGGACGTTCTGTGACAAAATGAATGTTTTTGGATTCAGTAGACTCAAAATATAAGAATTACGATAAAAAAAACAGCTCTCAATTTTTTTATAGACTTGTGTTATCCTTTTGGAGTATTGGAACCGCAAAAAAATACACAAACTGATAATAAAGCATTTAAATCGTTTAAGTTATTAATAGAATCTACTTAAATATCATATTTTCTTCTTCAAAGAGTATTATGATATCACGGTTTTTTTGGTTAAAAGCAAACAAGTACTTCCTGTTGATATTGAAAAACTTAAATTTTGGGAGGGGTTTACATGCTGTATCGCCTATGTTTACGTAACTACTATGCCTGACAGACCGGTTGCGGGGCGTGCTTTATCACTAACAATATGCCACTGGCCACAAGATATATTACACGAATAGTAGAAAAACTGCTTCTAAAGCACAAGGTGACTATCGTAATTCAATGCATATCCTTCTTAGTAATCTATACATATAAAATGGTAGGAAAGTCAAAACTGTACATTGAATACTTTTTAAAAGAATACTTGGGGTGTGATCTACAATCGATACCGAAGCAAAAAATATAGTGGGATAAACTCAAAAAGTACTGCATGGATTAGCTAAAAATTTGGCAGGAATATTATTAAGGAGTTGGGTCAACATATAAGCTACATATTATCACACTATAACCTTTATTTCTAACTAACTCCACGCGTACGAAGTCGCGGGCGGCCGCTAGTGTGTTATAAAGTATATTGATGTATTCTAAAGTCGATATCACGAGAAGCTGTTAATAATGTAAACAAATATCTTCTACTGAGTTGTATAGCGACATTTATTATCTATTAACGAGTTGACCAAATCCAATATACCTCACTAAATTAATATTTGGGTCATATTATACCACAGAATATAAATAATAGTGCAAGTAGGTATACATTCACGTTAAAGGTGATATAGAGCTCTTGTTGCCTGTTTCGTGATACAGGGCAGCGGATTGAAATAAACATTTTGGTTTGTATTTAAAAGTTGCGATTTCATTGAAATTCGAATGCCTACATTCCATATTCTTTTCTATTTGATTGTTGTTGAAGCCGTGAAGGCTTGGGTTTTTATTTTCTGAAATTGAAATATTGCCATCCGATAACACATTTGTATTTTGTATTTATGTTATTTACAGCTACTCACGACAGCGACTATAGTGTAAAATTTTCATTTTATACATGTAATTGTAAAATAAAAAACAAAACATAAGTTAAAGAAAATAGAACTAGAAAAAAATCCACGCGGACCAGGCAGCAGAAGGGACTCAAACCCGCACCCTGCGCTATCCCATTATGCTACCTCGGCCCTGATGGCCGTGTCGAATTATTTCTAACCTTTCTTAAGCTGCAAGGCAGCGCCATCTCTTCGCATTGTAGGTAACCACAGATTTAAACATCGTGCAATTACATGCTTAAAAAATAAACTTAGACCGAACCAATGCCAAATGAGTGTGTGAATATATTTTCATCTCTCAAAGCTCAAGCACCTTTGCCGCTCTACTAATCATACAAGAAATATAATGAAGTCATTGTTTTTAGGTATTAATAATTATCATGTGTAAGTATATACATAAATATACAATACAAGTTAACAAAACTATACTTACAAAATACGGAGACATCATATTTCCGACTCTTGGTTGGTGGAATGCCGTTTGCAGCTATGCATAAATAGGTCCCCATATCCAGCCGCCGAAGGTTATGAAGTGACAGGGTGGACCCCACAAAGCTGTCCACTGTTAAACAAAATTACGAATTAGATATACCTACCACACTGTTGAAGAAATTAAAAAGTGTATCTCTCAATTATTCTACTACTAGAGCTGAAGTAGCCATATTATGAGGCATTCTAAATATTTCCTTAATGTATAAAAAAAATCCACGACTAAAAATTAATAAGTAGTTTCTTGAAATAGTATTTTGTCCCTTTTATATACTAATAAACCAATAAAGAAACCATTGAATCTCGAGAACATACTCTCCTTGTGATGAAAATCGTTGACGGGGTAAATAATACATACTATATATAATTATTATTTAATTATTCAGAATTTCTGTAACATGCCTGGTCACTACTTTTCACACTACTCATGTCCCTTTGATAAATCTTCTAAGCATGACATTTCCAGAAACTGGCAGAGACTGTTTTTAGAGTTCCGTAGTCCTGACAAGGAACCCTTATAGTTTCGTCATGTCCGTCTGTCCGACCCCGCTTTTGCTTGGAGACTATTTGCACTAGAGAACTATAATTTTGTGGAGATATGTATATCGATTACGCTAACAAAATGGTAGAATAAAATTTTGAAACAATTTCTTTTTTAAAGGTAACTCCCCTACATAGAACCCGGGGATGATTTTTTTCATTATCTACCGTCGATCGAATTGATGAGTTTGAGACGCAGTTTGACTTTGATATAGATATTTAGGTGGAGATACTTAGATTGATATTAATTGGTTTTTCTAATTTCCGATATGAAATATATATAGTGGTAACTACAAGCAACTACGAAACACAACACTACGCGTGGCACGATACGCACTTGGCCGATTTTCAAATCTCATTAACTTAATTGTGAGGCATCTGCTGAGACTGAGAACATAGTTTTTTCACACCCAAAAGACTTTATATTGGTTTGTTTTATCCGACTCTTTGCCTAATGGTAGCCATACACACTACGAGAAATCGTTACGATCAGACTGTACAGTTCGAACGGAACAGTTTATCGTACGTGGCGTACGTATAGGAAACTGTGCAGTTTTATAACATACACGCTACGATTTATCGGTACCGTTCGGACGGTACAGTCTAATCGTAACGATTTCTCGTAGTGTGTATGGCTGGTATAAGGATGAATGCTAGGAAAGTTGGCGGCATTCTATTGAGGCGTAAAACTTCACTCGTAAAATCGTAGTAAATCAAACTACTCAAAACTTTCAATCGGGGTAGAGTAGACGTGTGTTACTTAAAATGGCGAGAAAATGTAAATACAAATCGCAAATAAATGAAACTAACTGCACTTTAAAGCTAAAAAGTTTCAGATTCATTTGTTATAGTTCGTTTTTAATACTTATTATTTTTGTACCCAAGTGGTCTGTTCTGAAATTTTAATGCACCAAATATTTTTTTCTTTTTTCTCCTTTTGTTTGAGTAAAAATGAAGTTATGTTTTAACTAACGGAAAATTCACTTGAAAGTCAAATCTGACGGCCGTAGGTACCCAAAAAACCTCAATCAAATTCAATGCTTGTCCAAGTAACGTAATATTTTATTCTATTACTATCCCACAAGCACAGCATAATTTAATAAAAATTTAAGAATAATAATAATTGTCCTATCTGAATATGGCCGTTAGCCTTATTAAAGTTTGCGCTGAACCATAAATTGTCATTGTGATTTATGTCACTTTATTACACCATCCCTTTTTCATTTCGCCTTAATAAGCGATTTTCTTTTGTTTCACTCCCATTCATTACCTTTTTTACGTTTCATCGCCAACACAAAAGAACGGCGTAGGATAAAAACTTCTACTCGCATTTAATCCTTACGTTATTAGCAATGACAATATTATAACTTAAGTTATTACCATTGCCAATAATACATACATACATTAATGCTATTGAAAGAATTCAACATAATTTTGTTAAGTATTTATAAAACAGAATTAATGTTAACTTAATTATTATTGATTGTGAAATAAAGTTACAAAAAAGGATGGGATATGTGAAACAAGTTACATCCTTGCAACATCGCAGAACTGTTAGAGATCAATTACTTTTTTACAAACTTATTAATAACTTTGTAGATTCACCGTTCCTTTTGCAGAGGATTGATTTCCGTTGTACTAATAGTAACTAGGTCTGACAACACGTTTGTAATACAATTCAGCAGGACCAAGTTTGCTGCAAATAGTTTCATATCTAGAGCATGTCACAGCTATAATAAATACTTCAGGGGATTGGATATATTTTGCCTTTCGTACAATCAATTTAGAAATGAATGCTATAAGGTCATTTTACCCTAACACTCAGTAATTATTTTCTTACCAAAAATTTTAATTATCATGATCTTTATTGTATTCACATAACTCTAATACTCTAAATATTGTACGTAATTTTAAGTAAATTATGTAAGTGTATGAATGTTTCAATTTGTGGAAACTTAACTGCTTAATTGAAAAGTAATAAGTGTTACCTAATTGAATTGTGTAAAACTATGTTTCCCAAATGAAAATTAATTATTTTCAATTTAGTTACATACACACTAATATACACACTTAAAAAAAATATACTTTTTTTACGGTTGAAAACTTAACTACGAACGAACATTAATAGAAAGGAATTTAAATGAGTATTTCAGACTCTATGTATACTATTCTTAATTAATGAAATTTTTACTACATTTTTATTAGAGAGAAAATGGCTCTCCATTAGGAAAACAAAGCAACGTATTATTATTCAGACTCATTTGCGGAAAATACAGATATACATTAGCACACACAAATTAGAAATACTTAATTCTCAGTAGTTTAAGCAAACAAAACAAATTTTCATTTCCCATTGCTAAATTAAAACTTGTGAATTCAAATTTGTGGCGCGCGTCTCAGATCAAGAAGGACTTAGATTATTTATTATTATTTCCTAGAGGATTTAATAACTTCAACTAGCCAACTTATGTGATATTGTCAAGTACAAACTGTGCAGCTTATTCAAACGTAAGCTCGTTCATCACAGTGATTGCCCCCCGCGTACTTTCATCTTACCTTAATTATGTGAGCCGCCATCGCTAATCTCAGCGTAACACTTTAATGAAAACATTGCACAACCCTGGGCGGGCGTTTAACGGCTGCTGTCATATTAAATTCAAATATCAAATGGAAATAATTTATTGACTTATTGTTAAACCGTTATACCGTCTCTAAGGTAGCAGTTGACAATGCAGCGATGCGGTCAGGCATTTCTGTCTCCAACAATATCGGGTTCCGTTAACTATTGTTGGTACGTTTGCACGTTACATCTTAATGATCGGAACAGACATGTCAGACCTATATAAATAGGTACCTATATAAATACGGCCAAAACAGGAAACACTTCTCACAAGAGCTGAAACTTCTACAAAAACCTTTAAAAAAAGTATTACTTTTATAAAGGTTGAATTCAGCAATGTAGCTCTTTCAGCAGGTAAATACAACAAATTTCAAGAAACAATTCATCTTCTTACGATCACTTGGATTTGCTTACTTAGAAACTAGCTCTTATCACTTAATTTTAAAAATTTACAGTTGACAACGCTACGATGTACTGGGTACTTTGACCGTTATAACCATAACAAGTATAAGTATTCATCAATAGAAACTGTACTTAATAAAATCATACGTTCGAAGATACTATTATCAATTTATATAATATTGAATACGTAACCCCAGGAAAAGATGTATAGTATTATTAACATATCTATATATAACTATAAAAATCAATTGCTGTTTGTAAGTCTCGCTAAAACTCGAGAACGGCTGAACGAATTTATCTTATCTTGGTCTTGAAATATTCGGGGGGGGGGGGTCTCTAGGGAAGGTTTAACAGGTGAGACAAAATCGAATAATTGCCGAGAAATATATATAGATATATATATAGAGCTTTAATAATGAGGACTCGGAACCCTAAAACTGTCTATAGTTAACCAAGTCAATACATATTTCGTTGATGTACGGTTTTATACGATCGCTTTAACGGGTTAATCTATAAACGATTTTTCAAGTAGGGTATTTGACAAGTTTGAGAAAACGACTCCACGTTATTTACTAATGTTTATGGATATTCATCATTCTGTTATTGTAAATAAAAATTTCCATTTTTTAAGTTTCCTTAAAAACTTTTATCTGGACAATATGGCGTCTCACTGGTATGTGACGTCAAACGATACAATGTTATATCACTTTAACCGGAAGTTTACTAGTGTGTAACGTAATTTTAGGCTACGCCAATCCCAGGCGTTAACGATCACGTGACAATAGATAAGAAAAGTTAATTATATTATTCGTGGGTTTTTAGAAAAATTATGAATATGTTTTCTGTAAAAATAGTAAAAATCCCTGCCAATATTCATTCTAAATACAGATGCTTACAATTGGCACTTTATTTTAAATACTGTCAAATACCAAATAAAACCAAAATTTTATCCAATGCGATTTTGCCAAGTTACTAGTGCTCAAATTTCACACCATTTTGCATGGTAGCTAGCTTTCTTTTCAAACTAGGTAAAACACTCTTAAAAATGTCATGTACCGGTAAAGTTAAGATGTTATTAGCCCAACGCATTCAAATGCAGTGTAGGCCATTTGTATTTCACGTTGCTCCGATTCACCCTCTCTGCTATAATCGCTATATTACTAGACTCGCCTTAAATCTCGGGCACCGACATAAAATACTGCTTCACTACGTAGCGCGTAATATCAAAAGCGGCCCTGTATGAAATTGTGCTTTATTAACGGGTTATAAACTTAGGTTGCGACATGTCGTTGGCAACTTGTTCGCTCAAACGACGAAAGCTCTGATTTACCCATTCCATTATTATAGCTCGGAGGCTAATTGTTTTCCAATTTAACTCCCGCTCAACATTTTCCGCCATAAACGCTGAAGGGACGACTTTAAGAGCTACTTATAAACAATGAGATATGGATTAACGTTTAATTGTAGAATTGTAATTTGGCAACAAGTTTGCTGGTAACGATCCAAAGAGA